AGTGCAGTGGCCGCTCCTGGCCACCGCAGCCTCGACCTGCTGTGCTCCAGCGATCCTTCCGCCTCAGTCTTCCAAGTAGCTGGAATTACAGGTGCGTGCTGCCACACCCGGCTAATTTTTTGATTTATTGTAGAGATGAGGTCTCACCAAGTTGCCCAGGAGGGTCTCGAACCCGCGGGTTCAGGCAACTCACTCACCTCAGCCTCCCGAGGCGCGGAATTACAAGCTGAGCCACCGAGTCCGGCTGTAGTTTACCAATTTTCAAGAGCAACTACAAGTCTTTCTGCCAGTTCCCAGACCGAGACAGATATCATTCTTCATCACTTCCACATAAGGATTTATTCTATCTAAACTACCATTTTACCAGACGTATAGCCTTTCCAGGGTTTCAACTTTCTGCTGGGGATAACCCTGCTTCCACTGCCAGCTTGGATTAGTCTCAAGATTTCACCTCTTTTCCGTGTGTAGGCTTTAGAACTCAAGCCACGCGGTTACCAAGACAAGGAACCCCCCCCAACAACAGGACCATTTATAGGCTTACCACTGTGGTTCTCCACCCTTCTCCATACTTATTCCTTTCATTCCTACAAAATTAGCTACACATTTGAAATCGTGTTTATTACATTTAACCCAGAACTTCTAGTATTTTAAGTGGGATAGTTTTAGGCTATCTAGACTGCCTGACTGCTAGAAAGGGAAGTCTCTAAAACCCCTATCTTTTCATGCTGCTTTATTTCCACTACACAAGGGAGACAGCTCAATTAAATACTGCTATTTTTAAAAACTATTTCTTACAGTTTCTCGTTATCCATGAGCAAATTGGGAATACCCTGGATTGAGCCTTTCTACGACTAACAATCATTTTGTGTTGGAGAAATGAAGAAGGGTGGATGATGACAGCAAACAGGAGGCCCCCAAAGCTATAACGAATTATGAAGGGAGATCATGCATAAGGAATGTTCAACACATTCAAGAATATCTTGTATTCAGAACTCTGGAAGGTCCTCTGTAACCAATACCTATAGTGTACAACATATAAAAGACACACTCTTGGTGATTCTTACTCCCCAGAAAAGTTTAACTTAAACAAATCAAACATAAAGACAACTAGAATATAAAATGGCTTCTAAAAGTAGAACATCGTTTTGGTTCTGTGCCTTACAGATCTACTCTATGAAGTGAAAAAATGAGAAAAAGTGATCTTTCAAGAAGAATTTGAAAGAAGAAAAAAAATGCTTATTATCTTGGTAGTTAGAAAACATATCGCTTCAGGCAGAATAACAAATAGTTTATCATCAGAAAGACCAAAGAAAAGGTTGCCATGGAATACTTAACATGGAAGAATGAATACAAGTTGGTAAGAAAGTGGACAAGGGTATTTTAAATAGAATGAAAGCCTTAGTATAAAATCAGACTTTTACGAGGAAAATAAAGGGCTTATTGAAGTCAACAATATGAATAAGGAGCATTCTGAATGCTCAAGAGAAAACAAAAGAAACAGAGAACCACTGAACATAAACTTGGAGACTTGGAAATTGGAAGGGTGACTTCTGCACATTGTTCTTCAGGGCCAAAATGCCCCCAATTCGCCCTGCCCTCTGCGTTCCATTCAAGCGGTGAATGCCAGCTTCAGCAAGCTGCTGTAGCCACTGGGCAGGCTGCACCTTTTCACTTTCTCTGTAGTGGGCCAAGGGTGCTAAAGATAGTGCCATAGAAAAGCCATTTTTAAGGCAAGACAGCTGAAGATGAGATGACAATCTCAGGGGGCCAAAAACCAGAGCTGGGAAGATGGCCAAACTATGAAAATTAAGAACTCTACAAAGGCTTTTTACCAGGGCTTTGGGAACACACATGAAATGTAGTGATGGTTTGCCCACTAATGATGGGAGAGTGCACCCAAAAAGGACCTTAAGAGGTCATGCAGGCCATTAACTCATTTTATTCAAAATCCTCTTCTAAACCATGGCTCCCAATTCCCAGGTCTGCATATTTTAGGCATAGTTCACGTGTGTGTGTGTGTGTGTGTGTGTGTGTGTGTGTGTGTGTGTGTAAAGTGTTTCCTTTCTTTGATAGTTATCAGACCTCAGTAGAATTGCTCATTTTAACTCTACTGAAGCAATTGACCTAAGAGAGATTTGGCATGGATTAGAAAGAGTGTATTTCTGCCAGTTTTCACTGTCACAGGAGCATACGCACAGAACCTTACCTTAGTGAAAGCACGGTAACATAAGCCACACAGCTCCACCAGGTAGGCCAGCGTGAAGACGGCATTCTGAATCACAAAGCTGAGCAGTTTTGAAAATGGTTCCAACAAACTCTGCAATGAGATTGAGGCCAAATAAAGTCACATGCTGATTCCTTCATTTTAAAAAGTATCAAAGTGTTATGCTACTTTAGTGGAATCATTCTTTTTTATTTACAATCTGCTGCAAGTTGGATGCTATAGCAGCTGTTTGTCAAATAAAAACAGAAGTGTACTTTCAACACAGGGCTCAAAGAACGTGATGAAATCATTTTATTGCTCATAAAAATTCATTTTGGCATGAGGCATCATTCACACACCTACCTACCCACAGGCCTGTCCTCAAGTCTACCCTAAGCAATTAAGACTCCGCGAGGCTTGCATGAGAGTCTCCCACTCTCCTTCTGAGAAACTGTAGGTGTCTGTGGGTTCATCAGATTCCAATCTCCTGGAAGCACGTCCTCTTGGTTAAGCGGTGCAAACCACCCTGTGTAAGTACCAAAGCACCGTAGCTTAGATAAAATTCACCGCGACTTGCTCTCCAGTCAGCGTTTATCAGGAAGGCATTAGCCATTTTGGATTCTTAATCGGAATTCCACCTGTGAAGGGTCCATTTTAGTACCTATCGTCATCCAGAGTTAGAGGTTTTCATGTAGTTTATTAAATGTCTTATAATTATCCTGGAAGATAGCACGTTATGATATAGGTAAGGATAAGCGCTAGGATCTGACACATGTGTTTTTAAACACTAGCTCTCTGTGACCTTGGGTAAGTGACTTAACCTCTCTGGGCCTTAATTGTCTCTTCTGTAAAAGGTTATAGCAATGGCTTCCATCGCATCAGCATTGTTGGGAGAGTGGAAGGAGATGATGCGTGGAAAGCACCCGGCGGCCGTCAGTTCTCCATTGGTGCTAGCTCTGATCCTGCTTCTCAGTCCTCTGGAGCTTTTGTGCCCTCCCTGTTCTGCAGTCACGGCAGCTGAGTGGGCAAATAGCTCGCCTAAGACAAGTAACAGCTATTGAATGGAGTCCAAGCCCAAGGTCCAGGGCAACTTTCCAGAGCTAGAACTGCTCTGTAGGGAAGATACACTTTTAACTGGCCATTAGAACAAGACTTTTTGCTTTCCCACTACTTCTCAGCCTCTAAGTGCTTCCCATCTGGATTACGAAAGTAATATACGCTCCATGTGCAAACTCAAGATACGCAGGAAAGTGCAGATGAGGAAATAAAACACCATACATAGTCCCGCCACCTAGTGATGACATTTTGATAAATTTCCTTCTTTTCACTGTATACCAGTTTACTTAGTTGAAATCTTAGGCATATATAATCTTCTGTTTTTTATTAACTTAATATAACATAAGGAATTTCCAGTGCCATTTAATTCTTCATAAATACCCATTTTAATGGCCATAAAAGTCACATGTTACTACGAGCAGAACCCCAGTCAATACGTTTTTGCATGAAATTTTCATTTTCATTTTCTTCCTCAGAATAGACTTACAGAAAAAGAATGACTACAGCATTTTTGAGGTTCTTTTTCCTTTTGATGCAAAAATTAGCTCATTACACGTTAGTTGCCCCTAAGTATAAAGATTTTGTCTTTTACTTGTTTGTATTCTCCACAGAAATGATTCGTATTCTTTGCTCTGCATGAACATTGTTGCTTTGAAATGCCAGAGTGGATAAAAGAGAATGGGACTATATCTCAGGTTGACACATAACGTGTCCTTACTTGGCAAAAAGGAAACCTGAACTGAAGTCTGTACGGAAGCTTGCTCTTATATCTAGCAGGGCGATGTGGTCATGAGACAACAGAAAAACCAAGGATCCTGGACTCCAAGGACCTTTGTTCCAGTCCCAGATCTTCTACGAGCCAGCGATGTGATCTGGCCAAGACACGTCATCTCTCTCAGCCTGTTACCCTGCCTGCAAATAAGCAGGCTGAACCAGATGATCTCTGCGACTTTCTAGCCCAAACCGTGAGTCTGTGAAAATACCATGAAGGTAAATGGTTGCAGGAGACGTGCATCTATCAGGGGTTATGGGAGTTGACATCGGAGGAAATTGGTACAGAGAAGGTTTTCTGTTTTTTAAATTTAGATGGGACCTTGAAGAATGAGACGATGTTCACCACACTGACAAGGATGTGAAGCATCTCTGGCGAAAGAAATGGTCTGAGTGGCCAGATTCAGTGGCTCAGCCTGCCATCCCAGCACTTTGGGAGGCCGAGGCGAGCGGACTGCCTGAGCCCGCAGTTCAAGACCAGCCTGGGCAACTTGGCAAGACCTTGTCTCCACCACAAATAAAAAATTAGTCGGGCATGGCGCACACACCTATAATTCCTACTACTTGGGAGGCTGAGGTGGAAGGATCGCCAGAGCCCACAAATCAACACTGAGGTGGCCGTGAGTGTGCCACTGTACTCCAGCTTGGGTGACAGAGTGAGACTCCAACTCAAAAAAAGAAAGAAAGAAAAGAAATGGTCTGAGCAAACTCAAGGATGTGTGAGATTAAACAAGATTCCATATGTGAAGCACTCAGCATGACACCTGCCATGAAGTAAGTGTTCAACAGATGGAGGCCGTTTTCATGGTGATAGGGCAGATTCTGAGAGTGCAGAGGAGGCCTGGGACAAGTAGCCAAAGACTAGATTGGGAAGACAGGCTGGCCAATTATGGACTAGCTTTTTGGATGACACGTTAGGGAATGTCCTGAAAGAAATGAGACGTTATCAAAGGTTTTCAGGCAAGGAGCCAACACAATGAGACCTGCGTTTAGAGGGATCCCCTAGTTGGTGCATGGGAGTTGGATTGGCAGGGCAGGTGGGGACAGCCCAGGACTAGGAGCACCGAGCACAAACTATGACACTGTTCGGCATCAGAGCTCTTTACACCAGGCACTGATGCAGCATAAGGAGAGGATAGGAGGCTGAGAAGGAGGCATTCAGGATGCGACGCCCACGTCTTCAGCACTGCTACGTGCCTGGTTCTTTAGGGTAAAGACAACAGACTGAACAGTATGTTTTCTTGAAATTCAACATACATACCCTTGTAGCATTGGTGGAGGGTATCTTCAAGAGGCAAATCATAATTCTCAAACTGGAATCTAAAGAACACTGTGGACAAATGCAAAAAGGAGAAGTCAGTTCCCACCTTAATACATCTTTTTCTTCAAATGAGTTCTGAAAACATTTATTTTAGCAAAAAGGAACAGCTGAAACATAACTGCAATTCCCCAGGACATCTATTCATGCCAAAAAACATCATTTTCAGATTTTAAAAAATTAATTAAACAATTATATAATGTGAAACAACTAAATAATTTTTTTTGAGTCATAGTCTCACTCTGTTGCCCAGGCTGGAGTGCAGTGGCACACTCACATCCACTGCAGCCTCAGCCTGCTGGGCTCAGGTGATCCTTCCACCTCAGCCTTCCACGTAGCTGAAACTGCAGAGGTGTGCTATCACACCCAGCTTATTTTCTGATTTATTGTCGAGACGAGGTCTCACCAAGTTGTCCAGGCTGGTCTCGAACCCCTGGGCTCAGGCAATCCTCTTGCCTCGGCCTCCCAAAGGGCAGTGATTACAGGCTTGACCCACCGTGCCTGGCCTAAACAACTAAATAATTAAACATAGCTCCTAAACAGTTTGTCAAAGATATAGCTCTAAAATTAAATGAGTTAGAGAGCTGACTAGAAGGATGGATGGATGGTCAGACAGACAGACAATTAACAGACACAGAGGTGGATGTGTAGATATTGAATGTATCTCATTATAAAGAGGTATACTAATTTGTGGAAATTGGTGTTAGAAAAAAATAACGACTTAAATCTATTCAAAATCAGTAGCCTAAATAAGAACTAGTTTCATCTGCCCTTTCTCTGCTATGAAGAGATATAACAAAAACCTGGGAGATGCTGTGAAATGTCTGCAAGGGAAGATCATGCCTTACATATTTGTTACACTTCTATCTGGGTAAGATTCCACATCAAGATGCACTTTTAACATTAAGTTCACGGGGGGGGGGGGGGGGGGGGGG